CGCCGCTCCAGCAAAGGGGCTGGGCACGGGAGGCCGCGGAGACTTTTCCCGCAGGATTTCTTAGGGCGACGTGGTTGGTTGGACCAAGTGGGTCGCTGGGATAAAGCTCGAGGAGCTTTCCTCTGCCAGGCGCTCTCCCGCGGGCGCTGAAGAGAGCGGCGCCACCCTAAGAAATCCTTGCCTCAGAGGCTGAACACAGGGCACCGGTTTATCCCGGGACAAAGACATGGATCTTGGGATCCTACAGACCTACACAGCTCACTGGCCCACTTGAAGTATCTGTGAAGAAACACTTGGCCCTGGGAAAATAAAGGCTATTTGCAGTTAATTGTAAACCATAACCCCGGCCTGTTTTGATCAGTCAAAACTGGGACAATCAGCCCCACGTTACACTAGTCCTCTGTTTCCAGTTAGAGGTCGCATCCAGCGATGCAGGGATGTGCACTTGCACTGGTACACATTATCACGGGGCACAACCCTGAGTTGGTGCTTGGTTGCAGGACAGATTGACCCCCACTGGGCAAACTGCCCTTGCCCAGCTCCTCCTGGCCCTCCAGCCAGGAAGAGCCGGAGGCTGGGGCCAGCATTGGTGCTGGTCCCAGCAGTCTTACCTGGTGACCTGGAGCAGCAGGGACACAGATCCAACAGCACGGAGGCCTGGCCAGCAGCATGGACAGCCCAGCCCCCCTGTGTGCTGGCACATGCTTGTTGTATGTGTGCATTATACCACTTTTATTTTCAGGTTTGTTGAGGGGGGGTGGGGGTTGTTACCAGGAAATCCTGCTACCACATTTTGGCCCTGCATTTTAACATTCACTACTTGTGGTTTGTAGCGCCACAAAGGGTTGTGATGCTGCAAGCCACACGTGTCTGCACATTTGGGTTTGGCCAGAGGCTAAGAACAGACAACCGGTTTGATTTTCATCTGAGCATTTTGTGCTGCCTCAGGTCTAGACCATACACACAGCCAAACTCAATGTCCCTCTTTAAGTACCAGTGAATTATCCAATTAACACCCTGCTTCTGAAAAATCATAGCTAATTTGATTGAATTGTCATTTAAGCCTAGGGTGTAAACAGCTGGACTACGCCTGTTTTATTTACATATGGAACTTTCCACAAGTTTTTGCTCCATTTGCTACTTGTCACTACTGTGTCTACTTTTGTTCCAGAAACCAAAAGGAAGGGTACTGTGCTACCAGAAATCTTGCCTAAGTATATCCCAACTGTGCAGTTTGGCCAATAAAAGATATTGCCCAAAAATTCTGCTCAGATGTGTCAGGGGCGTACTTGGTAGCCATGTTGGTCTGAGACAAAAAGACATACAAAAAACTAGAACTCTTGGTTCCAAAATAAAAGGTATTATTTTGGAACCAAGAGTTCTAGTTTTTTTGTGCGTCTCAGATGTGTGTGCACGCACACATACATACAACACACACTCCAATTATTTACAGATTTATATAACAACCATACATACATCCCAGTGCAGTCTTATACCAAAAATTAATTAAATTTTGCCTAATGCTATATTCTAATAAAGATTTAAAAAAAAAAACCCTGACAATAGTCAGAAAAAATACAAATCAATGAAAATGATTTATAGATTGGTAAGTTTGGAAAAGGGTCTGAAAAGGTCACTGAGTTAACTCCCTGCACATTCCAGTGCCTTGTCCCTAAATCATCCCAGGCAGATTATTTTTTAAACTATATTTCTATAAATACATATAGTTGTATATATACAGCATCTAGCATAAACTTTCCATCACACACCTTAAACCACATTAAGAAACCTCGCACCTGTTGCAATAAATGCACCCACTTCCCTGCACCCCTGCACACCCACCCGCTGCCCTTTCCCTAACCCAATTGCAGTCCCTTAGTCTAGATATCTATCCAATGTCTTTGCGAAACCCCCTCTGAAGAAGATCCCACAGCTTTCCTAGGCAGTTTGTTTCAGTGTCCTATTGTACTTACAGTTAGGAAGATTTTCTTCAGATTGCTTTGCTGAAGCAAGCTCATTGGCACATGTTCTGCCACCTGTGGCAGAAAAGAACAGTTTTCTCCATCATTTTGACAGCCCCTCAACTAATTGAAAACTGCTATGATGCTCA